GATTCTCTCTCATGCACAAGGCGTCTGATGGTTCAATCCTATAGCTTGTCCAGTGCCGGCATTCAGGATGCCGGCATTGAAGTGCTTGTCAAGGCGCTTGAGCGCAATGCTTCTCTACAGGAACTGCTATTGTACCACAATGATATGACATGGCACGGCCGCCTGTACCTCGCAATGGCCTCCCTGCGACGACCAGGCCTCTTGGTTTTGGGCATGGAGAAAGTAGGTGCATTATGTTGACATTTGGCCAGATCCCACTCAATCGCTCACGGCATTTTGCTTTGGTGCGGTCCCACTTTTTTTTTTTTTTTTTTTTTTTCACTCTGCAGGTCGAGGCTGCCATGGCAATCGCGCGGGTACAACTGAATGATCCTGAGCACACTCATCTCGCGTCAGTCTGCTCGCACACCAATGAGCGACGGGCTGTGACTTAAAGCAGCAACTCACCACTCAAACTCGTGTGCTCTAACGTGGCATTGTTGTGGCGTACGCAGACTAAGCTACACGGGTCTCAATCAATCCGGCTTCAAGCTCCTTCTGCAAGCATTGCCTCACAACACTCACTTGACTTCGATTGAGTGCGTTCATCATGGGCAGAGAAGCTGTCGCGGGCTGAAGAGCTATTCGTGCACCTGTGTTCCTTCACTCCCTTACCGATGCTAGATTTTTCTCTCACATGCTTGCTCATCACCCAGTCTAAATGGATTAACCGTGGGCAAGGACGACGGCGAACATTTGCAGTCTGCTGTTCAAGCTTGTAAGCAGATTAAGCATCTCAGGTCAGTAATGGCAAAAATAATCAGCATCGCGAGGGTCGATGCCCTTTATGCTTGGGATGATCGAGATTGGCTTGGTAGGCACTCCTTGCGCGCCTCGCGCGTTCACCGACCATGCCTCTTTGCTTTGGTGCAGTTTGGACGGTGCTATCGTCCCCTTTAGCCTCAAGCTGCGGCTGGCCCGCATACTCTTGCGACGAGGCGGTAGCGTGATTTGTGCTGAGCACGCACAAATTCAAACACTCCTGGACATCCTCGAGGATCGGGCTGCAACTGCATGCTTGACGTTTGTTTTCTTGCTGCTGGGCCAAATATCGCTCGCATATCTCATGTCGAGCTTGAAAGCCGTAAGAACCTTTCGCATTCATGCACAATCCTCGTGCTTTGTTTGTGTCTCTCGCCACTACTGTCAACTTGGGTAGCATGTCTGGCCTCGAAGTTGATTTGCATACCCACGAGCTCTTAGCCAGAGGCCTTCGCTTGAATCACCACGTGGCAACTATCAAGTTAGTGCACAATGCCGTTTTGTTACACTGACGCAATGAGCCTTTGGGCCAATGCTCTGTTGCCCTGCTGACTATCCTTGTATCACTGCAGCTACGATATTGGCCTCTTACCAGAAGAAACCCGATGTGCTGCCATCGATGGCATTCGTATGGCGCGTGCCTGCAACAGCTTCTCGTACGTGCCTCATTTTTTTGACATACTCTGCTCGTGGGGCGTGCCCGTTGAGTCGGGTGTGCTGTCGCCGATCATAGATTGCGCATGCACACGCCATCCCCAAACGAGACACAAGCCTTGGTCTCACTTCTTGAGCATAAAGCAGGCTTGAGCCGTTTGGCTCTCAGGTTCGTTTCAATGGAAGCAGGGCCGAAATCCCGCAAACTTTCAAGTGGGCAAAGTGCAGTTCAACCTCATTTGAATGGCTTGGCTTCTGCCAACGTTTTATGATGACAGCTTCCGATATGACATCCTCGGCGAAGCGGCCAGTGTGGACATTATCGAAGCGATTCCCAATTCTGTCCAGGATCTAGCGTGAGTGAATTGAATTTTGGCGTGACCATGAGCACAGAGCGACCAAGCTGCATGGGCCCGATGCCCTCTTTCCCCCGTGCCCCATGTGTTGGCCAGACCAGCACTGCTGCCTCTTGCTCGCCTCATTTTGTCATGAGATGTACCTTCAGGTTTGAGTGCGCAACGCTGACTTCTGCGGGGATTGATGCCTTGTGTGCGACCCTGTTGCGCAATCCAAATTTACATCGCGTCAGCCTACACGGTCTTGCGTGGCCACACGAGTTTGATGCCAAAGTGTGCACCAGTTTGGCCAGTCTGCCCCACCTTCTTCGACTTGAGTACGTCGTTTTGAGTGTGACTTGACTGTCAAAGAGAACTTGATGACCGTAGCTCGCATCCTTGATGCCCCCAAATGCTCAACTCCTGGCATGGGTGCGCGACCTTAGCCTACAGAATAGCAGTGCCTCTTTGGGTAGCTTGCTGGAGTTGAGTGAAACCCTGGGCCAGCGACAGGTGGAGGTCGTCAGCGGCCACGAGCAGCTGATGGCCGCTTATCGTTTGGTAGCCTTGGACGATGCTCGCTGCACCGAGTTTGAGTGCGTCGGGTGATTTTGTGCGTGCCATGCATGTTCAAAGCAACACGCACACTGACTCGTCGCTATCCTTTGATGCTGGCATAGGGTTCATTGCGGACGGGGTGCCATGTCGCGCGTCACGCTGGATCGCATTTGTGAGGCCCTGTCGCACAACCATCATTTGAAATACCTACGCATTCTGGATGCCCAGCTCTCCGATGAGGAGACGGGCCGGCTCATTCAGGCTGCGGCAAACATCCCGACTCTGCACGAACTCACGTAGGTGTCTTCCACGACGCCTTGTACTTGGGTCCGTCCATGCCACATGTCACATGCGATTGGAGACTTCACATATGGAAAACCACGTCTCGTTTAACAGCCTGAAGGGGACCTCAATTGACCGTCGGTCGATTCGCACGGCCAGCACGCTTCTTGTTCATCACGAGCGTCTCGTCACGCTATGGTGAGTTGACCCTGCAAGCCTGGCAAATGAGTGCCCCTGTCGTATCGCCTGACAACCCATCGACACTGTGCCGTGGTAGCTTGGAGGGCAAATTTGAGCTATTGGAAACCACGGCGTTACCATTGCGCGATGCTCTCCGCAAAAACACCTCCTTGCTCAACTTGAGGTAGGTAGCCAGCGCCCAAGGGCACCACAATCTGCAGGAACTTGAGCACGTTGACATTTGCTCAAAGACAAGCCCTTTTGAATCGATTCGTCTCTGTAGGCTGCGCCTTCCTCGCTGTCCGCTGGCCAAGCGCCTGAATGGCTTGCTCAGGCTGACCCCGTGGCGTTGGTTCCTGCACCATGCGTTTGACGAAACTTTCAAGGAACGAGTCGTTCTCCTGTACTGGGTGCTTGAGCGGGTGCGGCGAAGTCAAGCCTCTCTCATTACGGCCAGGGAAATGGACCGCATTCTATTCTTTCTCAGTCTGCTTGAGCAGCGTCATCCTCGTGTGGAGATGCTGCTGGATGAGTGACTTTGCCTCAGGCCATCCTGCTGGCAATTGTGGTGTGATCAGGGAATATCCTCGCAGTTGTCAACGTGCCTCGTCAAGTTTAAATGGGTGACACTGTCATCATTCAGCATTCAAGATGCTTTGCTGTCGCATCACATACATATCAATAGCAACCAATTCAGTTAATAACATGATCAACAACCCGCCCCAGTGGCCCAAACTCTTGCAGATGTGTGAATGCACTTTCGAATGTGATATGCCCTTGAATGCAATTGAACACAATTTCGTTTCAATTCTTGGTCAAAAAGAGTTTTGGCTCATCAGCCTGACTCATGCATCCGTCAAGCCACGTAACACACGTGATGCAGAGCCTTGTCCATACCTCCCCCAACTCTCTCTCTCCCTCTCTCTCATCATCCTGGTGGTGGGTGATGTGCAGTGCTTGCAGCTTGCCATTTTAAAAAGGCTCATCTTCTGTGATGTCACCGTAAACCCAGATGGCAGCACGCGAGCTCTTGGCAGCGTTCATCTGCGTCATCAGCGTTTGAATGATGGAACGGAAGGCGGGCTCGCGACGGGGCGCGACAATGCCGTAGCCAGCCGTCACAAGCTCGGTGGTCAAATCGGCATCGCTCTGACCATCCTTCAGAGTGACGCAAGGCACACCCTCCTCGGTGTATTCAGTGTTGCAGAGAACCTTCTTGTTCAGCACAAGATCACGGAGCACCTGGCAGCACTCGTTGCGCCAGTCTTCGGGCACGGGCTTGAGGAAGGCCAGCTTCACCAACTGAGCCTGGGGAGCCAGGGCATTGCAGCCAGCCGGCAAAGGCGCGCAATCCTTCTTGCTGACGGACTCGCTGTTACCAAAATCAACGTATTGCACCTGAGGGACAGGCAAAGATGGTGAGCGAGGAAGCACGGCACGCAGCAGTCCATGCACGGATCTCCGATCTCGCCCAAGCACAGAGAGAAGAAGAAAACCTACCTCGACATCGTCTCCGTTCACCTGCAGAACACGCGCGCGGTACCAAGCCATGTCTTGGGAGAACTGGGCGGCAATCATTTGATTCTTCTTGATGGGGAAGTTTTGCGGGGGCTCCATGTCCAAGGCCTTGAGCTTGGACATGACGTCACCCAAACTAGCGGTATCCTCGTTCTGCACGTACATCGAGATGGAGTCCACAATCTCCGTGACCACAACGGGCTTGTAGTTGGTCTTGCGCTCTTGCACCTCGGGTGCAGGTGCCGAGTTGCGCGCCGCCTCAGCAGCAGCCTCAGCTGCAGGATCGTAGTTGGCCCAGACACCCTTGCGGGCGTCACGAGCAGCTGTTTCTGCGGCCTTGTACTGTGCCGCATGTTTGAAGCGGTCCACAGAGGGGTGCAGCTTGGCCAACCCGCGCTCGAGGAGGGCCTGGCTGAGATTGAGGTTCTTGCAATAAACGTGGCTGGCCATGTTGCCACCCTTGTCCGTGTCCTCAACCTCAAACTCAATGTCATGTTGCAAGCAGAACTTGCGAGTGAATTCCGTGGCCTCCTTTGCGAAGGGTTCATCGGGGGCACCATCGCGGCCCGTACGGGGGCACGACACACCAGCAAGGACGACCGATGCAATGCAATTGTCCTTGGGGACCATCACGCGCAGGCGCGAGCCGGCGACCACGTGCTCAACCACGCCGGTAGCGCGGCCAGCACGTTGCAGACCTGGCAGGAAGCGATCGGCCAACTGCTTGTTGGACACCTCAGTGATGCGAAGAGGCGTCGCTTCACCGGTGGAATGAACGCCACGCTTGTTCTTGATGGCACGCGTTTCGGCAGCCATGAGGTTATCGTAACCGCTCGCGCGTTGATCGTCATCCGCCTTGTAGCGCAGGACAGTGGCATAGCCCTTGCTCACCAGCGCCTCGCCGACATTGACCTTGTCCACGACGACGGAGCAGCAGTGTTTCTCTGGGTAGCCGTTGTTGGCGGGCTGGATGTAGTCGAGATGCACATCTACCTTCTTGCCAATAAGCTTCTTGCGCAGGAATTCGCGACCCTCGTATGCGTGGGGAATCTCCCACAGGCGGGGGGCACGTCCGCGCGACTCACCCTCGCCCTTGGCGGGGGGGCGGGGGCTGCGGACTGAGGCCAGGTGAATGCGCTGCGAGCCCTTTTGAGTACGGATCACAAGGCTCTCTGCGTTGATAATCTCCTCCACGGTAGCCTTGAACTCGCGCTCTGCCTCGGGAATGGCTGAGACGGCAGGAGGAGTCCAGGTCTTCCACAGGCGCAAGTGGCGCTGCTGGGCAAACTTCTGGTTGGCGCGGTAGGTGTCACGCTGCTGGGTAACGTTGCCGATGGACCAGTCAACGACCGAGGCAAAGCCGTCCTTGAGCAGGTGCAAGCTAATGTTGCCACCCTGCGGGTGGAGAACGGTACCCAGGAAGTTGTTGTTGGACACGCCCTCCAAGATGACCTCAACCTCGCGCTGGAGAAGGCGCGACTCCACGTAAAACTTGGCCTCAAGCGCAAAAGGCTCGGGAACTTCACCACCCTCAGCGTTACGCTTAAAGCCGGGGGTCTTGATGCCAGTGAGCATGATGGTAAGATACTTGAAGTCGGGCAGCGTCATGACGCGGACGGTGCAGCCGTCGCGGACTTGCTCGATCACAGCCTTGACGGGCTTTTGCTTGAGCGAGTCGACGAGGGCGCGGGGGTTCTCAATGTTCCACTCAACATTGCGAACGTGGCTGGCAGCATCGTCTGCCCAAACGCCACGCTTGGCCTCTTGAGCCTCGCGTTGGCGGGTGAGCATGGTTTCCCAGTCCTCGCCCTCACCGCGGGCGTTGTCACGGAGCTTGGCGAGACCGGCACCAAGAAGAGAGTGGCTCACGTTCTCCTCGCGCACTGTTCCGGGTTCGAGCAGGATTGTGCCGTACTCACGACCAGAGGGCACGGTGTAATCAACGGTGAAGGTGACCTGCTTGCCAACCAGTTTCTTGCGCAGAAACTCGCGTGCCTCCCAGGCAAAGGGCTCATCCAGCTGGACCTCACCGCTCTTGTTGGGGCGACGGCCAAGGCGCGGTGCGCTGAGCTGTGGAACATACCAAGGGGTCAGGACATCAAGCAGGGAAGATGCACGAGACACAAATTTGCATCAAGTTACAAACCTGGGCGAGGGCGAGCGTGCGCTCTGGGGGAGGTCCGTTGCGTGGTTGGCCTGGATGCATCAACAATGTCGTGCCAAGAGGAAGGGAAGCGCAAGGCGGCCGGCAGAGAGAACGATGAGATAAGGGTAGCCAGGTGTTTGTGATCGAGAAGAAATTGGCAAGGCTAGACATGCACGAACCGCGGAGGATGATGGTATCACCCGACAGCACAGACTTGACGACGGCAACATGCCGAGCCGGGCCGGGAGCAGCCATGATGACAGATGTCTAAGCGAAAAGGGTCATGAGATGGGTAAGAGCAAGATCAATCAGGCACGGCACTCTGAAGCCCAACGTGTTGCAATTGGCGATCACTGCTCCTCTCTTCCGCCTTTTTGCCCTTGACCAGTCAGAATCGCACCAACTCGCAAACATGACGCCCTCCCCGCCTATCCCTCCACGTCGCCAATACGAATGCAGCCGCCCCAGGCGAAGGTCGCCCAGGGCAGACCGAACCACTGGCACTGAACCGCTTACTGGAAAAAGCTGCTACAACGAAGAAAAATGCAATCAGCCACTAAACACGTCATTTGGTTTGTAAGGGCGCCACGTCCTCATCCCTCACTGTTCCTGTCAGGTTCCCCTTTCTTCTCCTTCTGCAAGAATATGTATCAGGTCAGCCCGGCTTTTTGCTTTTCAGGCAATACAAGTTTACACAAACTTTTGGAGCGTTTGTCAGACAAAATCTCGATTAGGAAGCCATGTGAGGAGCGTGCATCTACCGTTCAACGGGACGGAGACCGGCGAACGCACGCTCAACAATATCGTCCAGCTCCTCGCGGTGCAGGGCACTGGAAGCCGTGGCAGTTGATGCTGCCGAGGGTCGGCCAATGTATTTGGGCTCCTCAGGTCGAAGCCCCGTCTATTTATTTCCAAGGCGACGGAGGCAAGGCGTGAAAGCACAACAAAAAAAATTAGCGGCTTTTCTTTGCCAGATGGCAGGCCAGGTCATGCAGCAAGGCTCGTTCCCTACCGTCTTCATGCTTTCTTCGTTTAGCGCCAGCATTAAACGCGGCTGCACATAGGACCAAGCCCCCATGTTGCGGGGTTCCTCCTGCACCCACACAACCTCTGCGTTGGGATACCTGTCAACACCGTGCCGGAATGGCATGAGAGATTCGTCCAATACCACGACAGCATCGTCCCAAGAAGAACAAAAACCAAAGGATGCAGTCGATCAGCACCCAAAAGTTTGCCCCTTTCATTGAGAACCAAAAACTGTTGCATCCCAAAGGAAGAAAAAAAAAAGGGGGGGGGGGGGGGAGGAACAGAAGTGTCCATGTGTCCCGCGCCCTGTGCCGTTGTCGACCAACCGCTGAATGCCCTGAATGACAAGATCGTGAGGGAAGGGGGCAATCTGTTCCAGCCGGATCATGACAACATTGTTGAGCTTGAGCCGGTCGCGCATCCTATTCAAGTGATAAAAGACTTGACCGCTGCACAAAATCACCTATTTCCATGCACACCGTGGAGATGCGTGAGCTTCAGAGGTATTAGGCAGACACCTCTTATGAAGACGCTCGGAGCGATTGACAGTAGCAGCAATGATGATGAAGATCCAATGCGCGCCTCTCAACGCACTCGCTCGACGTGTTCCGGCGGCACTAATGCCGGCCGTTTTGCATGTCGGAGATTGTCCGCTACGAAGCACACACGCGAAAGCCAACATCAAGTTGAGAAGTGCTGTTGAATTCGAGCGAGCGACGCAGCAGCTGATGAAATGGCTCTGCACATCTACCTGCTCGGCCATCGGATATGATACGGTTGAAAAAGGTCCCGGGTCCCAGGTCGCAGAGTGCTGCATGGTGAAGAGACCATCAAGGGTCAGGGTACAAATTCAAAAGGCACCATGCTGAGCAGGCGCGCAAAGCTGGAAGCCTCAAGCAAGAAAGACCATGTCTCCCTTGGGCAGCAGAAAATACAATGGAAGCGCCGAGCGACAAACCCACATACCACTGGTGCAAGGAGCATGGTGCAGCAGCCACTTGGGAGTGAACAAGATCAGGGGCTTACGGAACGGCAGATTCACCTATCTCATCATACATGTATTAGCTCAAACCAAACACCCTCGCAGTCTTCCATCATGCCTACGGGCAAAAACACGACAATCACACCTGACGCCGCAACGCGTGAAAGTATTGCGCCGGGGTGCTGCAATTGAGAATAAACATGTTGGCCGAACGCTCTGCGTGGCGGCGCAGGAATGAAGTCATGAATGCCTCCCAGGCCACCCTAGAGTCGGACAAAATTAACCAGGCCGAAGGGTGCACATGCAAGCGCAACACAATCGTGCCAAGGTGAGGCTGACAAAGTGCAGAGCAAACAACAGCGCCAGCATCCGAGTTTCAGCGCGCCGCACCGAGGAATGGGGCCTTCGCCATCCATTAAGCACATCTCTGTGGCCAGCGTTTCCATGGCCTCGGCCGGATTTTCCACCACCTGCCGTATTGGTCAGAGCCCCACAGATATCCTGAGGTCACAAGCAAATACCCCACCTCGACCGGGGGGAGGGCACACGATATGGCAGTCCTACCTCAAACAGGACTTCTAAAAGCCGCGATCGCTCAATTTGATCGGCCCTGCAGGCGATGCATGACGTATGAGAACGGCCGTTTGTCCAACGCTGTACAAGAAGCGTGAAATCGGCCGACGACGACCAGTTGCATGAGATAGCACGTACTCCTTGTCGTCCCCGAGTGCTTCGAATGTCTGTTCAATGAGCCTGCGCGAGTTCGGATCCCGACCCTAATGACCATAAACGGCATCACAAAAAAGTTAGATAAAGCAAAGTTGGCCCCGGTGCCACTGATGCTGATTCGTGCCCCAGTGATGGTAACGGTTTCAATCTTAACGCGAACCGGAATAAAGTCGGGGTCATCGTTCATCATCTGCAAGAACCGCTCCATGCGCGCACTGCTGTGATCCGGGCCCTGTTCAGGGACAAGGACGTCAAACAAGGACATCAAACAAGCAAGAACGTGGGACGGGCATGCAAGAAACATCTTAGGGGCTATCGGCATTCAGATTCGAGCCATTCCCATCAAGCCGCTGCACAAGATAGCGTCAAAGAGGCCTCTCTTGTTGCTTCAAGTCCAATAACCAGATCTTACTTGGCCATCATAGCCGTGGGGCAAAAGGACAACAAGATTGGTCTGCACATTCCAGCGCTCCTCGCCCGAGGCGATAAACTGGTCAAATATCACTTGACCATTGTTGGCAAAGTCGCCAAACTGCGCTTCCCACATGACGAGTGCTTTGTCCTACCGTATCAAGGCGTTTGTTCCAAATCGCGAGTGACTGACAGGGCATGACAATTGGGTTTGACCCATACACAGTCTGCACAGCGCCACTTACCTCATATGACAGTGAAGCACCATACTCAAAGCCAAGGCAGGCGAATTCGTTTAACGGGGTGTTCCAAATCTCCACGGGATCCTGCCCGCCTGGTGAGATGTTGGCCAAGCGGACATAGCTATGGCATTTGCGCCGGTCGAGCGACATGCGGGATGAGTTCTGATGATGGCCTGCGTCAGACAGGCCTGGCTATCGGTAATGATAACAAAGGGGCCCTGTGATCATGGCGCCGATAGTCTGCCTCGCCCATTGCATGCAGGTTCAGGGTGGCAGAAGGCAAGGCATACCGCTGGCCTGTTTCTTGATCATAAACAGCAGCATGGCGCTGTGAAAAGGTGCCACGCTCTGAATCCTGGCCACTGATGCGTATGGCAAAGTGGCCTGGCGTCGCATTTGGTCGGATTAACACGCAGTGAGGCCATACAGAATGAGTTGAAATGCAGCAGACGAGCCTTCCAAGCATGGCCGAAAAAAACGAAAGGTCCAAGCTTTGCCCCAAGCGCACCTTTGTTCAGACCCTTCAGGGCGGCTTTGCGGGGATCGACATCTTGATCAATATCGGCAGCTGGCCCTGTGTCTCTGCGTTTCAAGTTGCTGTGAGCTCAGAAGCCAGTGTGATAGCGCGACGCGTGTGCACATCTTTGCGGTTTCACTAACCGATGAAGAGAGAGGGTACCGATGGCAAGAGCTTCGGCCATGGCCCAGTCCACACGCGAATTGGCATTTTCAACCATTTTCAACCGCTTGCGCATCATGTTTTGAATGTTGGGGTGTAGCTTGAGCTCAGCTTCGGAGAGGTCGCAGGCTGCTTGGCCCACAAACTGCAATGTCTCAATGGGCAGTCCCGTCAACTCTTGGGCTGTCCGCCGGGTGGACAGGATGCCACTCTTGGCCACCGTGTCACGAGCAAACTCCAGAGGTTTTTGAAGATAAAAGCCTGTAGCTGCTCGAGCTTGATCCTCATCGAAGCGTCGCTTGATGCCACGATGCCAGCGTTCCATCTGTGCCATTGTAACCGCCTTCTCATTCATGCAGTGATCGAGGTATTGCTGCAGCACGGGGGGGTGTTTGGCAATGCGCTGGTAGGTCAGGGGCAGCGTTGCATGCGGATCGTCCTGCTCATTATGTCCAAAGCGCCGATAGCCAACAATGTCCACCACCACATCGGAAGCAAATTCGCTGCGCCACTCGGCCGCCAGAAAGCAAGCCTCACACACAGCCTCGGGATCATCAGCATTGACATGGAAAATTGGCGCCTTTGCCACCTAAATCGGCATTTCGCCACACGCCGAAGACGCAGAAACAGACACACATGCATGCAATACACACACACACACACACACACACACATGCGCACAAGTGGCAATGCATGATTATTAGGGGAACGCATTGAGACAACAGCACGCCACACAAGTGATGTTGACAACATGCGAGTCGTAAAATGGGCTTCCTGGGAGCTGGAGCCCGCTGGCACCCACCTTGGCAATGTCTGTGGCATGGCCACTGGAAAAGGCTTCAGCGGGTGGGGTGGTGTAGCCAACTTGATTGTTGATCACGACATGAATCGTGCCTCCCGTTGAGAAGGCCTCGAGCTGAGAAAGCTGCATGGTTTCGTACACGCTGCCCAACCCGCTGAAGGCTGCATCGCCGTGAACTAGGATTGACATGACCTTGCGCCGACGATCGTCTCGAATGATATCCTGCTGGGCGTGTGTGTAGCCCTCAATAACGGGGGCGATGGCTTCCAGGTGCGATGGGTTTGGGAACAGGCGAAGGTTGACGTATTCCACTTGGCCCGGATCGTAATCATTCTGGGGATTAACGCGTTTCCGATCCACCCGATTGAAAGCAAAGGTGGCTTCCTGTGATTGGCCAGCGGCGCCAAGGCGCCGCGGCGAGGAAGACATGAACGCGCGCGCAAAAAAAAAATTAAAAATAAAGAGATGTAAGCGTGGACAATGGCTGAGCCAGAGCGATCAGGCAGTCAGGTGTTAACAGATGGTACCGCTGTACCTGGCCCAAATGGTACTTGACGTCACCAACATGGTAGCGGGACTGAAGACCCTCCTGTAAGTACAAAAAATGCGTCAGTTAGGCATCGGTGATGGGGCTCAGGCCCGCAAGGTGGTCCGGAGAATTTTCGACAGTTTATTCAAGCAGACAGAGAGAATGCCTGCGTGCGATGACCCTGAATCTCCCTGCGAGGTGACGGGAACGGCATGCAATCGCACAAGTATACCATTTCAGCACAGATGGCACCCATGGGCTTGTCCATGATGGTGTGCAAGACGTTGAGGCGGCCGCGATGAGCCATGCCAAGGTTGATGTCGCTGACACCGAGCTCTGCACTGCGGCGGATAATGGCCTCCAGTCCGGGAATAAAAGCCTCACAGCCGTCTAAGCACGCAGTCATGGGTAGCAAGAGCCTTCATGTCAGTCGCAACCGCAGCTCAAGGGGCGTGTCAGTGGCCAAGGGGAAGAAGCACTGCAAAGCGCCAGAGTAAGACCAACCAATGCCAAAGCGTTTAGAGGCCTTGAAGTGGGTGTGCAAGTGCTCCTCAAGGAGTGAGGCTTGCAAGAGGCCGTACAGGATGCCACGCTTATGTGAGCCTAAAAGCAATGGGGGTACATGTGAGCATCAAGGCAACCACGGTAGCGCCGATTGGCGCACGCCAGTGCGGCAAATTACCTGAAAGAACCCGACGATTCTCCAACCGGTCCATGACCCAACGTTGTTGTTCGAGAGAAAGATGCGAAAACTATGCGAGCAGAAATAGGTGTTTAACCAAGGTGAAGGTGCAGGGAGAGAGAGAGAGAGAGGAGGGTCTCCCGCTAGGCTTGAGGATCGAGCTGGCCTCATACCTGAGCACACAGGGTGCCAGAGTAGGAATCGGCCAGGTGCTCAAAGAGCTCTGGCAGCGTCCATTTTTGGTTCACCTGATCTTTTTTTCCGGGCAACTCGACCTGTCAGAGAGGGTGAAGGTGAATGCACGGCATGTAAGCTGCCAGTATCACCTGAGGATCAGAAACATGGCAGAGCATGCCGCGAGGCAGTGGTAGCACAAACGTCAAAGTGCTCGGGGTTTGTTGCCTTCAGTCCCAGAACTATAGACAGCCACTGGTTTTTGTTATCGTGGTTACTCTCGCGAGGATAGCGCTCCAGTAGCTACAATAACCCAAGTCCCACAGCGTGAGCGGAAGTGAGGAGCGTCTATGCTGAGGTGTAAGCCACAAAATGGATGAGCGGTGAGCTCTTTGCAAGACTCACCCAGCCTAGCAGGCTTTCGACATCAAACGAGTCGCGTTCGGGCTCGCCCTGGGAACGTTCGGTGCGGAAGACGCCGCGTTTGAGGCGCAAGAGGGGGTCGAGCTCGGCAACCATGTGGCCTCGCTCCCGGAACCAGAGCATCAATTCGGCAAGCCGCAGGTCATCGTTGATGCATGGTTGAATCAGCGTCTTAAACTGCAGGCGATCACGGTAAAAAGCGCAGAGCAATGGCGTGGTGTGTCGAACCAGGACTGGCTGGCAACGCTGCAGGCCGAAGGCAGCACCTCGCTGCAACGCAGCGGCCCGCATAGCTACTGCTGCCATCGAGGCAAAGTTTGCCTGGACAGCAATGCCCAGGCTGGTTGCACAAAACACGCTTCTCCTCCGTCTCCTCCACTGCCTGCGGCCTCAAGCACAGCCTGCCACTGCTCCTCCGAAA